AGGGAGGCAGTGAAGGAGAAGGAAGGCCTGGCGCAATATGGTTCATGGGGTCACGAAGAGTCGGACACGACTTAACGACTAAACAACAAACAACAACAACAAGTAGAGTGGGCTTTTTAGTCCATTCCTTGACCAGAGTCTGTCATCCTCAAGAGCCAGGGAAGCCTGCTTTTTCAGCCACTGTGCCCTCCCATGGAATAGTATTCTCCCCCTCATGACATTTGAACAGCTCCCTCCCTCCTGACCTCCAGGAAATTTGTGAAAACACAGCTGTTCCATTAAGTCATGGAGTCTGGTTCACTATAAATAACCCTCCTGAGGAGGAATTAGTTTTATTCTTCTGATTATGTCATCCGGTTTTATGTTATTACCAGTCTTATAATGTACAATTTGTTTTTAAATTTGATTTGTATTGTTTTTAATCCCAATTACATATTAGGAGTTGTATGCCGCACAGAGTGAGCCAACTAGAGCAGTCTATAAGCCCTGTAAATAAACAAACAAACAACAAACATTGCCTTTCTATTCAGTTGAACATATTTTAATTTTGCAAAAAAAGATGGGGACTACTTTTTTCCTCATCACAATTTCTACATAATTTATTTACTATGCACCAATCACACATAAATCAACCAATCAGCTTTGTCAAATTACCTCCACCACTGATATGTACACACACACACACACACACACACACACACTTCCTGAAATGAGAACATAATACCAACTGTGCTTTTGTACTGACACAGAAAAACTGTTATTTCTCAACCAACGATTCCTTCACAAGATGATCCTCAGTGTTATCAGATAACCCCATATGGATCCATAAACTTCTAGGGTAGATCAGTCTACCATATCTATTCCTCCAATGGAAATGTACATAGGTCACATTATCTCCTTCCTTTAAGTGAAACAGTTTTTTTATTGACTGCAGAAGACATCAAATCCAGCATGAGTCTCTTGTACCTAGCACTGTACTCTGGAGTAGATTTACAGCTGTAATGGATGCCTATAAATCCTTAACTGGTCCTCAAAATCTAGCATCTCTGTCCAATGACCAATATATTTCTTTGTCAAACAACACCACCCTATTTGCTACTTAATGTTAAAGAAAACACTGAGAAGTGTAGACAGTCATGTCCAGAATATCTGCTATATTATGGTGACTTTTTAAACAAGATTCAACTAGAAAAACCTGCTGCTCAGACAACGCTAGCTTTGACCCTTAAAATATTCAATTTTAATCATTATCCATCTATACAAGAGCAATCTTCCCCAAACTGGTATTCTCCAGAAGTTGGATGGGGCAGACAGGAATTATAATCCAAAATATCTGAAGGATAACAAGTTGGGGAAGCTGACCTAGATGATCTCCTAATTGTCATGTCTCATTATCTCTACCAACACTTTAGAGATTTTAAATAAGACAGTGAAGTATTTTGTTTCAGATGTAATATTAAAATAGAGTCCCACTCAAACTATGAAACAATTAATTAAATGGAGCATGCAAAGGTAGAAGAAAGCACATGAGCACAAGAGTTGCTCCTATAGTTTTGAACAATCTTCTAGTATTACATGTGGACTAATTAATTGGGTTTTAACCAGATGTATTAATTTACCAATTACCATATATTACTAAAAATGTCTATATAAATAATTAATATCCCTTAAAAAATAATATGCTGAATTAGAAAAGCACGATACTCATAGTTTAAGGAATAAAAGAAAACTGAAAACATACCATTTTTTAAAGATACTACATCACTAATCTAATCTTATTAGAAGAAACATTTCTACTCACCACCAGATCCCTGGATCATGGTGCCTGATTTCTGTACTTCATCAAATTTTGTAAAAATGATGTTCAGCCTGAAACAATAAAGAATAATGATTTTGGCAGCATTTAAAGACAACCAGACAAGGCACATTTGTGTCTCTAATTTTAAGCCCTTCTCTTTCTCTTTCTTAATTAAATGTAAATGTTAAATGAGAATAAAAAAAGAGACCAAGATTTTAATGACTATGGAACTTCAAACCTGTACATAAACTGTATTCCTCTTACCCTGAGAAAGTTTAGTCCATTCCTCAGTCTTAGTTCTAATTTACTGAAACAGAAGATACATAATTTTCCAGGAGCATACACAAATAAAATGCCACTACTTCAGAATATGTTGCACTTTAATCTCATGATTTTTAAGGCAGTATCATAACTGAGATTTGCTTTAACAAGTCCTTACAGCAATCTGGTTTCAACAACAACAACAACAACAACAACAACAAAAAACACAAGTAGACTTCAAAACCCAAGAACTCAGAAAGTGAGAAACTTTTCACTCACCGAGACTGTGGCAATCCCTTTTTGCTGAGATCAGCTCTTACACGTTCACCTACATGTCTGTAGATTTCTACAAGACTATTTATTGCTGCATCACGAACCTAATCATTAAAGAATAACAAAGAAAAATATTTTTATATGTTCCAGCTGCATAAAGAAAAAACAATGATATTGCTAAAATAGTTGCTCTAAATATATTGTCAAAGCCAAAGATCTAGTCAAGTTGCAAGGCATGGCTAGCTTAAAGTAGCTTTTGCAGACTTTGTCTATTTCTTGGCAAACGTATTCTCCATTGCCAAATATTATGACCCGATAATGCTGAAACTAATCAAGCTGACTTACTTTGGTGTCCTATATGATTTGGACTCGGGAGGTCAGATTATGGTATCTTTTCTTTTCTTTTTTTCTTTTTTTAGCAGAAACTATTTAATACTAAACTATAATACTAAATATATATATTTATATAAATTTTTATATAAATTTATATAAATATAAATACTAAACACCACTGCTAAAGTTTCACTTTGTGGTTTCTGCAGCCAAATGTAGCCTGTGTTCTACATGCTTAACCATTGCCAAAGCACAGATGAATGATTTGGAAGCTGCAGTTTTGGCTGCAGGGTAATGCATGAAGACCTAGCATAGCACGTTTACCTAGGGCTAGCACTAACCCTAACCCATAATTATTTAATGACTGTGATGTACAAGCAGAATTACTACCTAAGGCATTCCCTTCTATGGCAGAACAAGAGAGTGCAATGTCTTAGAAATTGCAATGTGTAAGTCCTTGTAATAATCTTATTATGTGTGTGTGTATGTGTGACATAACTGAGATATCCAGTAGAATTTTGCATCTGACAGTCTATTTCTAGGACTTCAACTATACACTCACCAATTCTAGTGAACAAGATTTGAATGTGACAGTAATCCCCATTTATTTAATAGGTTTATATCCTGCCTTTCCTTCAGGAGCTCAAGGCAGCATACATAGTGCTCGCTCTGCCCATTTTTTCTCCACATCAATAAATAATCCTGTGAAACAGAGTAGACTGAGAAAGAGTGACCAGCGAAAAATCACCCAGTGAGATTCCATGGCTGAAGATAGACCTGAACCTGGGTCTTTCTTTTTCTAGTCTAATGCCTTAACCACTACCCCACATTATCTCTAGTCATCCAAAGGAAGGACCATAACGAAAGGTAAAGTACATGGTTTTGCCTGCAGAAATCTTCAGATTCAATCTTCAGCATCTCTATATAGGGCTAGTGTAAATTCTACAGAGGTGTTGTCAGCAAATGCAGTATATTGAACTGAAGGGTTTTCTATCAGTTGAGCATAAGAGCCAGCATAAGGCAATTTCCTATACCATGTTGTACAGACCTCAATTCATGGTTAAAAATAACTATGGTTAATTTAAAGAAATTTAAATTTAAAGAAATTAGTTTTAAAAATCACAGTAGGTTCATCTTCATTTAGCTTCCTTGGAATGACCACAGTTAGTGTAAACCAATATTTCAAATGACATCCAGGCAACAAATCATAATTAAGCACAAGATTTCAAAATTCTCCTGAATGTACCCAAGATTCTTAGAAGCTTAGTGTTACTCATGCTAATAGCATGTCGCTATATGATGGCTTACTGAAAAAATAATTTCTATAGTGCAGAGCCTAGACTATAAATTGGTAGGAAATTCTCCCTCTAATATATTGATATACTACAATTCTGCAGTTTTATGGGTAACACAGGGGTAAGTCCCCTTCTGAATAAACCATTTCTACCATATCATAATGCATATTTGAAGAATCTAAAGATTCAGGTCCCAGGCAGGTTCTCATTTTCCATAAGAGTTATGTCCTGCTATTGATAGAGATAGCACTTAATTACTTATACTTCCTTCTAAAGCCAAAGGAGGACAGACAACAAAGAGGATTTTATAAATCTATTTCTATAAAAATCTATCAACCTCAGACTCCTATAGATAGCTCACACAAAAGCCCAGTTTTCATATTACCCTAAACTGATATTTAAAACTACTTCTACAAAGTGGGACAAAACCTCAAACTCCTATGGTCCCTTCTACTCTTTCACCTCCTCCTCCTCCCTCTAGGTGGGAAGGAGATTCTTGACTTCAACTTTACATAGAAGCAGGTTTGTTCATACATTTGAACCAGAAACAGTGTTTTAAAACCAGTTCCAGCCAGTTTGAAACAAGTTAACTGGTTTGGTCTGCATATTTAGGCAGCCAGAAGTTTGCTTTGAATTCCAGCCTCAAGTATAGCAAAAAGGCACATTTTGTGTAGAGTTAAACTGGAAATAAAAAGGGAGGGGGACGCTCATGACTTGAGTTTTTACTGGGATTCATTTCTGCATGTACAATTCCTGCTTACCCTTATCTGAGAACCAGGTTATAGTGGTGCTTCCCAACCACCATTCCCCCACATGACCTCTCCTGTCTACAGGGCATCGTTCAGAAAGCACACCATGGTTTGACTGTGTGGTGAAACAACACAAAGCTGACAACTGCACTTCTTACAGAAAAACAATTCCTGAAACAAGCCAGTTGGCTCCATACACCATGGCCAGTTACCCAATTAAAAAAAACTTCACTGATTAATTGATGTGCTTGTATGTTTCAGTCTGTCTTGGCAGGAAAAGGAATTTTCTCCTTGTTTTCCAGTAATATCTATTTATAAAAGCCATTATTTTAACCAAGTATTAAGTCAATCACAACTGAATGGGTTCATACAACACAGCAAATCACAATCTACTACTTATTTATCCATCCATCCATCTACCCATCCAAGGATTATTTTGCCTTCCACTTAAATGAGTAGGCAAGGAAGGTAGCAATGATTAAAACAGAAAATACAGAAAGTCCTAAAATGGCAGTTAAAATCAAAGTAAAATTAATCAGCAAATAAAGGCAAGAGTCAATCTGATTATGGTAAAATATAAGTGGAATGAATGAATGAATGAATGAATGAATGAATGAATGAATGAATGAATGCATGCATGCATGCATGCATGCTTGGTGGAAGAGATACACCTTTAAAGTTTTCTGTATAAGGAGAGCAGGAGCCAAATGCAACTCTGAAATAGTTCACTCCAGGCCAGAGGAAGGACATTTCCTATGCAGCAGATAAGCCTGTCTCTGAGTGGGAGCATCTTGCAAAGGATATTTTTTTCATAACTTAATGCCCAAGCAAAAACCTAAGATTTTGACGAAGAGACTGTCACCATTCTTCATCCAATTATGGAGGCAATTTCTGAAGGCTTTGGGAAGTAATATCAGAGCAGATTAATAGACAAGCTGGAACTACCTAATGGAGATCACAATCCATGAAAGCTTCTGTAGTAATAACTATGATATGTAAAGTGCCACAAGACATTTTGCAACGTGTTGCTACAAATGATGCATCTGGCTAACTCTATGGTAATTTGTGAGTGCGTGCACGGCAATAAACTATCTGACTTTCAGCACAGACTCCAGTACAATCAATACATCTCAACCCTTCCAGCCTTATACCCTGGTCTGCTAGCCACAGATAACAACAACAACAACACAGTAGATTAGGACATTAATGAAAAAGTATCACATCTTCCCTTAGCACTAACACGCAATCCAAGTGGATTCCTACAGAAGGAAAATATCCTCCTTCAAATTCAGCATACCGTTGCAGTAGATTGCTGCTAGAGGAATCAAACTCTGTTTCTCCTCTACCAGCACCCACAGATTACTAACTTTTGTCAGTTTATTTACAATACACCTGCAATATAAATAAAGTATGCTTCTTGCCATTATGCTTAATGGAAGAAGATGTTAGACAGTTTTTTAACAGTTCATACTAGAAAGATATCTAGCTTTTCTAAATTGTACAGACAGCTTTGGATTTTCTACCTTTTCCAGAGACAGGAAACAAGCAACATTATTTGGATTTTTTAAATAGGGGGAATGGGGATTAAGCAAAAATAACAAAAGCAAAATAATTTCTCACACTGAACAGCAACAGGCTTGGATTTTGATTTTGTCTTGGCATGATGTGTAAACCCAGCCACAATGGTTTGTAAACCATGAATTATAACCAAGTGTTACATGTGAAAGAGGCCGCTATAGCTTATTCAGCCAATGGTTAAAACAAATTTGATTTTATTGTTTATTAGATCATTTTAGTCTGGGCTGTATGTCTGATTTAATGTTTTTAGTTGCTTTTATGTTTTTTTCCTAGTTTTGTACACTACCCAGATTCCAGTGGAGTTAGGTGGCCAATAAATTTAAATAAATAAATAAGATAAAATCAATAGAAGTGAACCTATTCATAGGCGGAATCTCAGTCCAATATACACTTTGCTTCAAATTCAGCATCCACTTCAGGCTCAGGGCCTGAGTCTGAAGCATTCAATCTCACTCTCTTCTACCTTTTTTAAAAGTAAAATTTTAAAGTATTTTTTTTTAACTTTGCTTAAGTTGAACTCTTGCATTCTGCACCACAAGCAGTTCTAATACATTAGGTGGTTATAATGAAAATATGATTTGAATGGCCTTACAAATGATGTCATAATAGGTCAATGTGGCTACCTGTCTTTGATCAGCACCAAACACTGATTCAGAAGGGAAGTTCCAGTTTAAAGGGAGGTTAAAATCCAAAATTGATCTGGGGAGAACATACACAGGCATCCAGACATTGAAAGCAGCATTTCTAGAAATACTTTCCTCTTCTGTATCTTTTTCTCACAGAAGTGCAAACTTTTCTAATCAATCCTCCATTCTTCTTTCCCACAGATGATATTCATCCTGCCAGCCATCCCCATTAGGCCTCTATCCTCATCCCAAACCAGTCTTTCCACACTGTTCTTCCACCCTTCTGGGCTATCATGGCTGAAGGCTCTCTTGGTCTCCATGGTAACCACAGGCAAGCCACTGTGTTGCAAGACTAGGGGGAAACAAGGCTTTGCCAACCGGATGCCCAAAGCCCTAAAACCTTGAGGAAACGAATGATCACGGGAGGGCCAAATATATATGTTAAAGGGTGCTTCTGTGCATCCTTCCACCAAATTACTCACCCATATTTTTTTCAACTGTCACTGTTCAAGGGTACAACTGC